AGAGTATTGGCTGCTACCGAAGATGGCAGGAAAGTGGATTTGAATCATGTGTTGTAAACATGCTAGGAACCATGAAAAGAAAAAGTAAAAAAAAAGCCTAGGAAATCCATATGATGTACATACAAATGTGAATATCATTTCACATTCACAGCTCATTCTTATCTCTCTTTGTTCTTTGTGGTTTTATGCTGGTGATATCAAGTGCTCGAAACATACATGGTATATGTTCTGTGATGGTGATTTAGAGAGCAAGCATTCGTCGTTTGAGAGCTGAGCTTGTCGATATGCCCATGTGACAGCTATAAGATTTATGTGATATTGTTCCTTAAAAGGAGATTCTATACAATTTGTGTTGAATAAGCTTCACAGAAAGAAGGCAACTTGAATGGATGAAGTAATATAAGATACCTTGCTAACTGTTTGTATAAATGCCCAGCTGGCGATAAAGCCTTTTTTTTTGGCTCTCAGGATACGTCCAGTATTGGAATGGTCAAGAATCCACTTAGCTTCAACGATAAACGGCGTCCATAACTGATGAGTGACACCACTGTTGATTTCTGACTGCGTTCATAATGCAAGATTATGATTACGAAGGATCAATATAAACAATAATTTCATGATTATGAACAAAGACACAGTTTCCGTGATTCGAGTACCAATTATATTCAATATGAGGGTGCATTCGGATATGGCGTGGGTTGGTGGTGGATGATTGATCGAGTGTCGAGGAGGTGGAAGATGAGTATTGACTTGTGGATGCTTCTTCCAAACCGAGTGAGCCATCGCACAAAGATATTGACCAGCACGGGGGTATTGGATGACAAGTGGACTCCAGTGACTCACATCACGATGACTGGGTGGTGGCATGGGATATGGGAAGCTGTAAACAAATGGAAGCCAACCAAGTTGGAACCAATCGACAGAGGGGAAGGTGGTGGGTGGTGGTGCCCTTTGGGACTCCCAAAGAACACTCCGACTGGTATCCGGATACACGATCGGTAGGTAGCTTTCACTAAGCTACTGGTCCAAATGTCTCTCGAAAATGCAGCTCAATTCTCATCTTCTCTTCCACATAAAAGATGATGATGAACAAGGCTTTGTTCAGTTGGAACGAAGCAGGTAGAACAGGAAGTTTGTGTACGAAACTGGAGCTCTCCACGGAGCCATCACACATGGATGGGATGATTCACGCCAATCAAAGACCAAGTAGAGAGAGAAACCGAGGAAAGCCATGGTGGGTGTGCTTGAGCCTGTTGTCGGCTTTGTGATATCACAAGCTAACTTTCCATTATTCGATCAATAGCTTCGAGTGCAAGGAGAACAAACAAGGACAGCTCCCCTGACTGGATTTGGCCCCCTGTGCTGCGGGACGTCGGATTGGTGTAGGCTTCTACTTTTCATGCTTAGGCATCACAGAACAGCACCATGGACAGATAAAATACTACTTTTCTTTAGGAAAGGGGATGTAGGTGTTGTTCATTTCATGATTCCCTTCCCTTCCCAGAAAACATTCTTTTTGGGTGTTTTAGTTCTACACGGATGTCTTTGCATGGGGCGTCTCATGCTTTCCTTAATGGCCACCTCAAGAAAGAGCTGAGCTGTTGTTATGAGGAGAGTCAAGACAAGAGCTCCCCGAAGAAGAATTTATGGTTTGAAGAGATTCCACCATGGAAGATGCTTGAGAGCATGAGTGGATCATGTGACATGATAAAACATTTGTAATGTATATCGATTAAGATGAGACTCACATGATGCCCCAAAGCAGCCTGATGTAGAATATTGAGCCGAAAAAGACATTGTTTGATCTGTATAGAAAGAGAAACTTCATGCACACATCATTTGGTCATACAGAAAAAGAAGCAAAAGATTCCTTTCCTACTTTCTCATCCAAATTCCTTCCGAAAGCTAAATCCGAGTCAGATAATAATTGAAGAACGAACCTTATGGTGTGAAGAAAAGATGACAATTATGGACTCTATCTACCCAGAAAAGACAAATGACTTAACATGTCATGAATAAATTAAGATTTTTTGTACTTTTATGATGGAAATACTTGTCAAGAAACCAATTGCAGGGTAGCATCACTACATCTAAAAGGCTACTTTGTGGGTACGTAGACCTACCTACTTACCTTGTTGAGTGTGCAACAAAACGTGTCCACATTGTTAGACCAAGAAAAGGGCCTCAAACATAAAAGAATAAGATAGAGTAGAAGAAATCTGTCGTTAACAAGACTATTACCTATCTTCTCTTTCTTTCTTTCTTTCTCTCTCTCTCTCTCTCTCTCTCTCTCTCACTCTCTCACAGAGACACTTTATGGTATTTGTTTGTGACAGTTTTCTTAGAAGATATATAAAAAAATCTAACAATTAAATCGTTAACAATGTTTGGTCCAAACCCTTATTGGAGCATCCAAGGCGGCGATGTCGAAGTGTTGCGTTCGCGAGACACCACGTGTATTAAGACTAATATCGGAAGAAATTTTCTAACTCGATCCATTCGATGTTAAAGTTAATGATTGATATCTTTTAGTAGTTGTGGGTTTTTTTTTTTGAAAAATTGAGTCCCCTAATATAACATCGGGGATTAACATTTATACATAGCCTTTGAGGGGACAATCTATAACCACTCCAATATCTCCCTCTTGGTGTTTTGTCCGCATAGGTAATAGGGGGAGACAACCCCAGCATACTTCAAGGCTCTTGCTAGAGGGGTTCGAAGTGTGATGTTTAATTTATCGAACAATCTTATTGTCAATCTATCCCTTTGTGGAGTCAAAAGGACACATGTTGGTTAAGTAGAAGTTGGGTTTTCTCGACTTATATATCTCGTATTTCGTCATATGTCATCTTAATGGATTTCTCTTATCTTGGGTTAGGTTTTCTTGATTTACACACCTCGGGTGCATTTCACCTTATGCTTTTACTATAGCGGATTTCTCTTGGCTTAGGTTAGGTTTTCTCGACTTACATGCCTCGGATATATTTTGTCCTATGCCTCTGTCATAATAAATTTCTCTTAGTACAGATCGAGTTTTTTCAACTCTTATGTTTTAAGAATATTTTGCCTTGAACCTTCATTATATCGGATTTCTTTTGGCTTAGGATGGGTTTCCGAGTCCTCCCCTCATCGTGGTGGGCTTCAAGTTTTTCCTCCATCGTAGCAAATTTTGGATCCTTTTGCTATTAATGTCTCTTAGGAATTACCCTAAAGAGACTATTATCTTGATCGTAGGAGAGAGATCGACATCCTCATAAATTACCCATTCTCTTGTAGGGCGGGATTCATTCTTCCATTTGAGCCTTCAAAGACTCCAGTCCTCAAAGCCTCCCTAGAAGCTTTTAGCCTTGCCCCTAGGGCCTCCTTAGGAGTGCTCTCCACCTCACCCTAGTTTTCAACAGGATTGGTTGGTTTTTGAGTCCCTCGTCTCAGCGTTAGTTCTATAGTAAATCAGTTGTCAGTCATTCTACTCTTTCATCTCAGGTTGGAATGTCTTTTCTTTATTGTACAAGTTCCTTCTGATCTTCTAGTTGTAAATAAGTAGAGGTCTATGCTCCGTCTTTGGACAGTCCAAGGGCGGAGAAGGTGTGTCTTCCCCTTCATTGGAGGAGGCATCTCCCGTGAACTTGAAGGTTTTTTTAGGCTTAGAGTTTACGAGAAGTTCCTTAATTATGACTCAATTGTGAGTGTACATCTCCTGGATCGCTTGCAAACTATATATTGTATCTTGGCTAAGTTTGATCTATAAGTCCACAGACTCGATCAGCACCCTTTCAACCCCATGCTTGAGTCTTTTTGTTTATTTTGTAATATCTTCAAAGTGGGACTCCATCTTTCCCTCCACCTGGTAACAATATCTTGTCTCCAATGGTGGGGGATTTAGCCTTCCCAAATAACAACCATCATCCTTACGTAAGACCAATGTCACGAGAAATTTTTCGCAATCCTTACATAACATGTGTTATGACACTCACCCATTTGTAGAGAAATTTTTCGACCCAATTCCTATGACACTCAAATTAGTAATTGAGATCTCTTAGTAGGTGAGTTCTTTTTTTTTTTAAAGAGAGCCTCAAACATAACGTCAGGAATTAGCTTTTATACCTAATCTTGGTGAGGATAATTTGTAACCACCTCAATATCTTTCTCTTGACATTTTATCCATGTGAGCGGGGCAATAGTCCCGAACGACATGTCTTAAACTTTTGTCTACGTGGACAAATGAGTAGAGGTGACCCGAACCTTTTTCATCCACCGTAATTTTCACGTGAGGCTTATATGTTAAATTATGATTGATTTTTAATTTATTTTCTTTCAATTAACAAAAGACTCTGGGCACTAAATCAATGTACCATTGAAAGTAAAAAAAAGATCCAAAACCTTAAGCAGCTGGTTACTGCTTTGCAGTACCACCAAACAAGAAAGGTCGAAGTGCAGAGTACGAGGTAGATTAAAGCCTGAATCACTGAGGTGGCAAGCAAACGGCTGATTCGTGTTGTATGACTTTTGCCTAACAAGATCAAGCAGAAGAACCCTAGTTCTTGCTGATCATTGCTGTCCAAGTTTTTGCAATGCAGTATGTTGGATAGCTTCCTCGATGATTGTCTGTCGGACCAAAAAATAAAATTCTTTTCGCGAACTTCTTGTTTCAATTTATAACATTTGAACATGTTTATCTTACAATATGAGATTAGGATTATGAGAGACTTCAGCCAAGAGATTACTCATGGACAAAGTTGAAGAACACATCAAAAAATTGGACTAAGCCTCATATATACCATGATATAATAATTGTGCTGAGTTTTGATAAAGGTGTTAAACCCGTAAATGAGAGAGATTACAATACACCATAACAAGGAAGTCAGACCCTTAAGTCTGACCGATAAGAGTTTATATTACTCTTCACCTAAGCTAAACAACTAATAAAATTAACATATCAATTATCACATGAAAGATCATCACACAAAATAGACAATTCTTTGGTGCTACGAGTGACAAACTTAGCCATGCGAAATCTTATTAACTTGTGTGTATATTTATTCGCAGCACAGCATTATGTAGTCGCTGCATGAATCCACACTCAGAATAAAGACGCATTTTATTCTTCTTCTATGCGAGAATAAAAAGAAGAAGAAAGATTTGAAGTCAAAGACGATAAATTTTCAAATCCATCTCGAGATGAATCCATAGCCTTCTGTGGCTTCATTGTTCCAAGGAGCTGTGCAGGATAGATTGAATCTGCAGGTAATTGAAGAGAAAACTATCATGATAACCTTAATGAGTTCCTTTTACCTCCATCTGCTGAGCTCTAAAAGAAGGGGCATTACCCAGTTTGCAAGGGTGGTTCTTCTCCTTGGGACTTATAGAATCCTGCTGCTTGAGGAGGCTCATTAGCTGCACTGCTATCGCCATTTGGCCATGACAACTGGAGCAGATTTGGTGAACCAGCTTCTTGCAACTGTCATCAAAAGCTTGCAATTTTAAGTGGGTAGTCATTTGTAATTTGCATGATCCTGTAGTAGCAAACAGCTCAACACATCCATCATATCTACAACTTATACTACATGAATAAAATATTAGTCACAGCTTTCTAAATTGTCCTCGATACAAATGAGAATGGTAATCTTAAGGTGCAAATTTGTGGGAAGGAAATATTGTCAACCATCAAGCACAATTATCATACTACCTGCCTTCTTAGGTTTGTGTTAGCTTCTTGCAACGCTTGTTCCTGCACAAAGATAAGTTACCAAAATAACATATTTCAATCACGCAATATACACATTTTAGGCATAATCTGTCTTATAGATCTACACTTACCTTGTGGTTAAGATCGCAAAGCTGATCAAACATAACCTGCATCTGAATTACAGACATGTTAACAAAGTTTTAGAGAGAAAAATGAATATGGCGATATCCAAAAACTAAACTTCACAATATCAGATCAAGGAATGCAGTCAAATTTGTATAGGCATAACTCTTAGAAGATTAATTGATGACAAATTTGTAAATGTGTATAGGAATAGAATCTTTAATCTGATCTATCTTGAAATTTTACAAGTTTCTGTGAAAGCCAATGCTTATAGGACAATGACAGTGGCAGGTTCAAGTTTCTCAACCCAGAATCTGTGTTGTGAATACCGCTCCAAATTACCTTTGTTGATCTGATTTGCTTTAGAGACATCTCGATTTGGTTCTCAAGTTGCTGTAGATCGTGAATACTTAATGGCCCTAAGTCCTCGCCAAGGAGATTGCTATAATACAAGAGAAGTCCAATTATAACAACATTTAAATAGGAAGCAATGAGAGGAACAGAGATTTAAGAGTACACTAAATTATAATTGCTACTTTTGAGAATGTTGCAGATATTCGACTCTTTCCTTCAGCTTAAGATATTCTTGATAACTCATCTGTTTAGACAGCAGAAGATTACCTAGTTAGATATCCTATGCTTAAGCAAGTTGCAGCTGTTGTCAATAGATGCATTTATCAAAAATGAGATGCTTACAAACCTAAAGATACTTAAGAGGAATTAAAAACTTGAATACAAGATAACTGAAATCTCTCTTGCATGAACACATGTCTAAAAGAATTGTAATCTTTAGGATTTGAAGAGATATGAAAGGTTACCATTAAGAAGAAGATTACATGAGTTATGAAAAATAAAGAGTCAATAGTAAATTTTATAGGTTACAATGTATGAATGCAACCATTAAAATGAGTGTTATAACTCTCATCTAGGCTCTATAAATAGATGGAATATTTCATGATCAAGTAGAGAAAGAGTGAATCAATAAGAAGTCTAGAGACTTGTCTAAAAAAAAGGAGAAATAAAGTTTTTATTTGCCTCTTACATCGAATTCTTATTAATATTCCTCTCTATCTTCTTTTCTTTTCTTATCAAAGATGAGTTGGGAGGTAGAAATAACCTAAGAAACTTTATATATATACATATATATATATGTATATATATGTAAAATATACATATATATACATATACACACATATAAATATACATATACATATGCATGCATACATACATACATACATACATACATACATACATACATACATACATACATACATACATACATATATATATATATATATATATATATATATATATATATATATATATATAATAATAATAATAATAATAATAATAATTTGAGCGCACTAAAGTTGAGATGTCCAAACCTCAAGTGTCATATCTAAGAGCTATCTTTCAAGCATTTGTTATCAATATGCTTTATATTTAATATAAATAATTAGCTATTTGCACTTGTGCAATTATCTTCATGCTTTAATTTCTTAATATAAGAGTTCTAATATCCAAGTGCACATTATATTTTTTTTCTCCAAAAGTTGTCCCAAACTTAAAATGTTTGTTTTCATGGGCACATAATAGACATTAGAAATAAAATAATAATTTTTATTTTTAGCTGAAATAAAGATTTTACCTTTTTCTTTCACTTTCATCTTTGAGAAGTCTCTAAATGAAACTTGTTCATTGACTTCTCAAAGATAAAAATCATCATTGCTTATTCCAAGTTTCTTTTACTTGAATAAGGATTTTATCTTTCCCCTTCGTCTAGCTCCGTGAAATTATGCTTGTGCTCATATGTGTGATTGTTTGCTCTACTATCCAAGCACCAAACATCTTCATTGTGAATATCTCGTTCCTTTGATGCTAGCAATAAAATATGATCGTTCTTTTTTTCATCCTTTTTCATATAGTTAGCCTTCTCCAACTTGGTTAGAATCATTATACTAATATTTCAATGAATAATGATCAATTTTATTGCAAAGTATAGCAATGAACTTTGGAATTATCATATCTTCTTCCTCTTAAAGAACCACCTCTTTCTCCTTTTTTGGGGTATTCTTCATTATCATTATTATATTGTGCTTGTCCTCAATCTCTTCCATGACTTCTACTATGGCCTTGACCATGGCCACAACTACGATCATGACTTCTTTGGGTTCTTTCTCCTTTTAACTTCTTCTTTGTTGTCTTTGAGGGAAAGCTCGCTTTGAAGAGCTTGTTTCATTTGATCTTGCTTCTTCTTTTGTATTCTTTGTTCATAAGCTTGTAATGAGCTCCTTAGCTCATCAATGGTCATGGTTTTAAGATCCTTTGACTCTTTTATGGCTACCATAATATACTTGAACTTTGTATCTATGGATCTTAGGATTTTCTCTGTTACTCAATTATGAACTCGGTCTCATTCATCTTCAATACTTTAAACTCACCCTTTAGAGTTTGCAGCCACACATTCTCTACCTTTTCTATTACTTTACTGGAATTTTGAAGGATCTCCCATACTTGAACCTTCTCGAATGCTCCTTCATCATGCCCTTGATAAATCAAGAAGAGAACTTTGTTGTATCTCTTTCTCATATCTCTCCAAGAGTGAAGAGAACTTTGTTGTATCTCTTTCTCATATCTCTCCAAGAGTCCTTTCGGTTCACCGTGAGTGTAGCTTTATTTTAGGGCTCATTGTACCCTTTCTCTATTATCTTCTACACATTTTGTGATCCAAGCAAGGCATTCATTTAGACACTCCAATTTTCATAGTTAGTGAGATAGGGATAGGAAATGATACATTGGTAATTATCTTGAATAGCTTGGCTCTGATACCACTTTGTTAGTAATGTGGTGGAGTTGTAGAATAAGAATAGTAGAGGAAGAAGATTAGGTACTAACTTTGTTAGGTTTAAATATTCAAACTTATATTCACAATGACATCCTCTCATCTATAAAATAGGAGATGAGAGTATAAGATTACATTCATAAAGGACAAAAACTAAGGATTGTGTTTCAACTTTTAAGATGATATTTTTTCTCTTTACAAGAGATCTTGACAACTTCCTATATATATCAACTTTTTGAGAGATTACAACATCATCCAAAAGGATTTTATCTTCTTCCAAAATATTCAAGATTTTTTTTAAAGAGATCTGTCCTTTCAAAATGTCCAAAAATTTTCTTCATCGATCAAGTAAGATCGTCTTCAATTTAACTAAGCTTAATTTCAACGAGCAAGACCAAAAAAAAAAAAGTGAGCTTGAATCAAGTCTATGTTAATTGAACAATAATAATTTATCAACTAGATTTAATGGTGAACAAAATGCAGCATGATGACGTAAACACATTGTGTGACGACTTTCTTATATGAATTTTCAGATGAGATCTTGATTCACTGTTAAAGAACAATTTAAGAAAGATTGCAAAGTATAAGAAGACTAAATTGAAAGACAAAATTTCATCGAATGGAGATAAAACGAATAACAGTACTATTGTTATGTCTGAGAAATGTACAGAATTGATATGTTAACCTGTGGCTCATTTGATGATAGTGTATGTTCTGACACATTATATCTGCAACTTCGATACCTTTCAATTGTCTTGAGTACGCTGAAATCAAGTTGGAAAAGAAAAGGCAAGTGATGAAGAGGTTGTGAAGTTTACACAGTATACAATTTGATGTCTGAAGAAAATGGCATATCAATAACTTATATAAAGACACTGGCATAGAATATAAATGGTAAATTTATATCTCATCTATGATGAAACCATGCCTAATTTATCAGCTAAATGTTTATGATGAGTTCCCATTGGCAAAATGTAACAAATGCAAACATCTTTTTTTATTTATTTAGTGCAATCCACCTTGAAATAATAAATATTGGTCAGTGGTGCATAGTTTTTTCAAGTGTAGATAGCAAAAGTCAACCCAACACAAAAAGAGTCCACTTCTCACTCACAAAAGTCAACCCACAAAACACATCCTTCATGGCGTTCATTAACATGCCCAACTCTAGGTTAAGAGAAAATATTTGTCACACAAATATAATGGCTATGCACAAAATTGTTCCTCAATTCAACTTGACACTCCAATCGGTCACAAACTTTAGGATCCGCACACAGAAGATGTGAAAGATGATAGAAAACATATCAGCAACACAGTTACACTTCAAGATTTAGGTGCTTTCGCTGGTGTGTTCTCTGTATATAGTACAATGGATATTGATTAGATGAGCTAAACTGCCTTTGTAAATGCATATGAATCACCAAACTTATCCATCTTAACTTACAATAAGTCAATGTCCACAAGTACACCATTAATCTTTTATTTTTCCTAGAGATCCCTGATGTTGTGTATATGTTATACTTCAGTCTCATCCTATGTTGTTATATATTTTCTGCAGTTTATGTTATAAGAATTACCTTAGCACAAAGAGATCTAAAGCAGTAATCTTGGGTGACGTGAGCTTAAACACATCATTGAGATTACTCGTTATAGCAGAATGACCACTAACATGAAAATTTCACATGAAAATTGAAAAAAAATTGCATGGCTACTAACATGAGATGTCATGATGGAAAGTTTAACTGTTTTTGGATCATTTAAATGGAATGTAGTTTAACTTTAACACATGGCTGATTCTAATTCCATTAATGAAACTATTTATGTTAGTTTTAAATTATGAATGACACCTCTTGTATTTTGTAGTATAAAGATTTAACAACTTTCATTTTATAGCTCAATTATATGGTCTAAGTTCATGTTTAATTTTTGTGAATGTTTGTTGGAGACAAAAGGTGAAATCTCAAATTTTCTGTTGACCCTCATTGTTCTGTCACTGGAATGGGCATGAATGCAAGCAGCATTCTATGATTTAGAGAAAACCAAAATTAACCTTTTCAAAATTCATTAATTTTGCTTTTGTTGATTGATCATTACTAGCATAATCCAACTGCTTTGAATTTTCTTATTAAGTTACTAGTCTTCTAACTAGGTTATTGTGCATTATCATGTAATCCTTATGATCAATGTTAAGCTAGTCGAGAAATAAATGGCTAAGAGTACTACACAAGTCAATCTAGATTTCGTATTCGTACACATCAACAGATGTCTTTTCGCATGATGCTTCATTTCTTTATGTCCATGTCAATTTGCTGCTATGGTGTTGAAAGAACCATCATCAACACATTGGTTTTGATTGTAGGAGGTGTTCACTTATATCTTCTTTTCCATCTTTTTCCTTCCATGATTAAACTACGCTGGCTTCTTGGATCAAACCCATGCAAACATATACTCTATTCTGTCAATCTAAGGGTGTAACCACTAACCACAATGGATTTTGATCAGAGAGCTAGCAAGTGAAGTAACCACATGGATTTGAAATTTTCAATGGGTTGGCAGGCTCTATATTGTTGCCTAATTATACTTTGTGGTGTTATAAATACTCGAATAGCATTGTTTCATGAGATACCTGTATTTTGTTTGATGTTATTGCATACTGTACAAGTGTCTTGCCCATGTTATATTAACTTGTTTTTTATTTCATGTTTAGCTAAATGTATATTAATTCTGTTTATCTTCATGCTAACTATCAGCTAGCTCATTTTTGTATCAGGTTCTAGCAAATGTGGACACATCCTTTCAGACTTTGGATAAAGATTCCATGTAGAAACCACAATGTAAGAGAGCAAGAAGAATAGCATTATAGAGAAGATACAGGTCAAATCAATTGAATACACGTGTTGACATGTTGAAGACACGCACAAAAAGCAGCAAGCATGTGTTTCTCCATATGAATAGTGATCGCATAAGAGGACGGACGATAAAGAGCACAAAGAAAAGAGGAAAATAGACATGTAACAATCAAAAAGGCAACAAAGAAAGGTTGGAGAACCGATGACAACCATACGGAGAAAAGAGGACCAGTACTCAAACTGAAAAGGTGGAACGAACAAGATAAAGAAAGCCCTAATCTATTGTAAGCCCTTCTTGTGTAAGGTGACATATTCCTCTTACCCAACAAAGATCTCTTCAGATACACTAAAGAAAGCGAATCTAAAATCTACAGAAACGGACCATAGTACCAGATTAGTATCCAGAGAACCATGGAACATTGCTATGGCACTTTGGGTGGATGCTCAGATGGAACAGTAAACCCTAAGATCTAAAAGAAACAGCACTAGCAAAGTACTTCCGAAGTAATCGGTGATGCTAAGCCCCTACTGATTACACCATCGATCGACATCCGTTTTCCACTCTCAAATAAATGCCAAAATAAACCAAAGAAGAAATGAAGTAAATGATGGGAAAGGTACAAATGAAGAGTTGTATTAAGCCGAAATCCAACAAAGAAACATTTCTTTGAAGTCCTTCGTTTGAGAAAATGACGCCTTTTTTTTCGAAGGATCAAAAGAGTTGAAGACGAAAGCAAAGCGGCCAAGAAAAGGACAGAAAGGAGATCGAAGAGCTCACTCGGGAATTAACAGCACGAACATTGGCGTGGAGGTGAACATAATACCTGGAGCTGCTGCAGAACTCGAAGAGGCGGCCGCGGCTGGAGAAGATGACGAGCGCCACCTCGACGTCGCACAGCAACGACAGCTCGTACGCCTTCTTCAGCAGCCCGTTGCGGCGCTTCGCGAAGCTCACCTGCCGGTTGACCTTGTTCTCGATCCTCTTCAGCTCCACCTTCCCCCTCCCCATCTTATCAAAGCAATCGATCTATTTCGTCTCCCTCCTCACCTCCCTTCCCCACGATCCATCCTTGGGTTTGATTGAGGAGGAGGAGGATGTGCTTCTGCTTCTTTTCCCGTCTTTTGGGGAGGGTGCAAAATTAAATTGGAACTGCGAAGCGTGTCCGAAGGCGAACAACGTCAACACCGGCTAGCGGGGGTTGGGGGGTACGTGTCGATGTCGCAGTGGACAGCATGCTCTTCGTGGGTTTGCCGTTGGGTTCTTTGCATGGGAGTCGCGACAACTAGTTTGTTTAGCAAGGGACTTCTAAAAACATGACACGTAGCATGGCAGACCAACCCAATTGGATCGATCGGACTCGATCTGTGTTAGTCACATTCGACGATTTGATCCAATCCAATTGTCTCATAGCAACCGATATATAATTTTAAGAGTGATATTTTTCAGTAAAATCTTTCTTTTATTTTTGTTTTTCTACATTCGGTTAAGAAAATTAATTGAAACTTATAACTTTATTGTTAGTGTTATTATAAAATATTTTTTTAAAAAAGAAGATAAAAATAGACACCAATTTTCTCCTTCAATTAAATCGGTTTACTCATCACCCATTTTCAAACCGATTTAATCCATTAATCAAACTAGTTTGAATTAATATTAAAATATATATACTATTTTTAAATATATTTAAGTAAATATAATACTAATAAAATAATAAAAGTAAAAAAGATAAATTATCATAAAATGCATTTAAATAATATATATAATTATTGTAGTTAAAAATAATCAACTTATGAAATAAACTAAGAAGTTGTAATACTAATGAACGATAATTTGATTATGTTGGCATTTAAAATAATATAATACTATACTTTGATCAATATTAAAATAATTATCATTATCAATACAATACCATCATCATCATCATTACCATTACAAATAATACTACCATTACCAATATTATTATCATTATTGTAGTCGTTATCAATATCATTAGCACCGCCAATACTAATATCATTAGCATAACCAATACCAATGATTACAATTATTATTATCCTTATCATTACCAATATCAATATAATTATCAATAATATTTTCATTATCAATACCTTTACCATTACCAACAGCATCATCAATGATAATGGTAATAATATTACACCATTAACAATACCATATTAATATCATTATCAATAACATCACCACTATGGATACTAATGTTAATATAACTATCATTATCATTTAGAGAGTTAAACAAAGATACACAAGTCAAGATGGCCGAGTTGGTCTAAGGCGCCAGTTTCAGGTACTGGTCCGAAAGGGCATGGGTTCGAATCCCATTCTTGACAGAAATTAAATTTCTTAATTAATTTTATATTTTTATTGGATAAAATATTATCTTTTGCAATTGGCTTTTTTTGATATATTTAATTTTCCAGGATTGTATAGAAATTCTATAATTTGCAATTAAGTTCAAGTAAATTTTTTATTGTTTAAAAGAAATCTAAAATTTTCATTATATATTTTCTTCTATTGTTTTGTAATATTTCTAAAATTTTTATTATATATGTATAGAGTTTTGGGATTACAATTAGATAAATATACATTTTATTTTTTAGATTTGTATTGATTAAAATAAGAAGCTTATTATTCACTACCTTTTTTAACAATCTCTTGATAACCCTTTTAAAAAATTATAATAAAAAATATTTTATTACTTATAATCCCAATATTATCCCTTTTTTTTAACCTTCCTCCCCTAACCCCTTTTTTCATCCTCAATGCGATGCCACACTCTGCAAATGCCATCGTTGCTGATCTCACTCATTACAAACATCGTTTGTCACCTTAATGCTCAGTGCCTCTTTGCTTGATGTCATCGTCATCTAAGGAGGAGGAAGAAGAAAAAGAAAGAGGAGGAGGAAGAAAGGAAAAGAAGTAGAAGTGAAAAAAGACAACTTAGATGCAGTATAAATAGAGGTTTCACTGTACTGCTATAGTTATTGCTGCTGAAGTAAACGTGATATATAGGGAGGAGACAAAGTTAAACCAATACATGATGATCAAAAACTAAGAAATTACTGTAACATTCACAAAAAAAGAAAAAATCCACATCAGGTAACAGCATATTGACATCGATAAGACGAATTCACCATCCCTCCTCTCCTCCTCAATCTCTACATAGAAAAAACTCACTTTGTATCCTTGAACAGAAACACCAATTTATTATCTTCTGCAAAGAACCCCCTCCCTCATCAGAAACCAAGCAGCAATTAAACTCCCTCTCCACCACAACTATGCTCGTGAGAAACAAAATATTCAAACAACCAAGAGGAAAAGAGAAACATCTATCTTGGAAGGTTTGATCTACACAAGACACATTTCCTGGACCCTACAACCATCACATGGCATCTTTGGAACCACCATTACTGACCTCGAGTGCTGAGGCAGCTGCTGAATCCAAGAACCAGACCAGTTTCCCATCAGTTGGCTGAACCATCCTTGCAGGCAAAGAAGAGGAATCGGAGTTTTCGTTGGTGCCGGCAATAGCAAGGTTTGCCGCCATGGCCTTCTCCTCGCCCGTAGCCACTATTGCGATGTTGGAAGCTGAGTTGATCACGGGGAGCGTGAAGGTAATCCTCTCGGGTGGCGGCTTGGGAGAATCGGTGATGTAGGTAACCCATTCCTCTTTCAGTTCAAGGGCTGGGTGATGGGGGAATAGTGAAGCAACATGTCCATCAGGTCCGATGCCAAGGAGGATAAGGTCGAACCTTGGACAGTCGTTTCTTTCAGAAACACCTACAGTCCGAATCTTCACCAGCTGGCGAATGGCAAATTCATACTCTCCTGCTGCATCTTCTACTGTTACATGATCATTTATGGAGAACACATGGCTGCTGAGAATTGATACCTAACAATATAATTGAGATACATATGTCAGGGACAGTTAAGAAAAAAACAACAGAAAAAGGACAGGCAGTCAGTGGCAGACACTGTTCGTGTATAAATAAAGCCTTTAAACCCAGGTTATCAGATGTAGACTCAGATGTGTGATCTGCCAGACATCAGTATTGGCATATAAGGTGAGGGAACTCAAGATTGACAGGTTTCAGGTTTGTGCATGAAATAAAATCGAAAAGTTAAATCCATCACTATGCGATCTCAAAACTTGCAAGGTGGCCATATTTACAAAGAGGCGATATTTTGGCTGGAAAATAGGTTTCACAAGTAAAAAGGCAATAATATGCCTTCGAACAAGATATGAAGGATTTATAAGTCAAGCCTCAAGAAAACCATAGTGGAAGAGCAAACGGCATAATGCCCACATTTTCTACAGTCATGCTCAACTAATCCACCGGAAAATGCTAGAAATAAATAAGAGAACAGGAATAAGTAGTATAAAACAATTTTTCTTTCTCAGCTTGTAGATAAGAATTAAGAAACAAGCACCATTTAACATGTAAAGAAGATATATACAGTAGCCTAGAACATATAGTTTTTCTTTCTTTGTCCTGATGTGCACAATGACAAGAAAAGAGGATTTAAAAAATAAATGAAGCTATGCATCAAAATGTAGAAGGCTTCCGGCACTTGGTGGGTATATTTTAATATCACAATCATTGTTTGAAAAGTACTATCAACAGTACCCATTCAATGAACAACAACTTCACTAAAGCTTTCAGCAGGCCTTTGTTTAAAGTAGCATGAAGAGGATCATTTTACAAATAGTAAGTCGAAGCTCAACAATAGGATTACCTTTTATCTTAAATGGGTTTGGACTAGTGCTCTAGGACAACATGAGCAAGCCTAGCAGTGGCAATAAATAAAAAGTATATAGGGGAAAAATGCATGGGGTGTAATAAAAACTACAAACAGAAACCTTTAATTGAGCAACTTGTGAAAATACATATATTGGCAAGTACATGGACACAGATGAGAAAATAAATGCATTTCCATTTCTCTAAAATAACCTTGATGCCTCCAAAGCAAAATTACATGGGATCACCAGCACCAAAGGAAAGAAAAAAACATTCCTAAAGGGTAGCTATCTTTTTAAACATATTTTTAATACAATGCTTTGTAGACTCTGACAATCACATAAACAAAGACCCTTTAACACATTCAAACAATTAATAGATCTTAGTACCGAAAGAACCCCAATTCACATAACTAAAGTGTAACAATGTCACAATAATGCTTAAATTTCTTTGACACTCCCAACCCAACAGTTCCCCACGATAATGCTTTCATTGTAGTCTAAGCTCATCCATCCAAGGATCTTCCTCAATATTCCTTAGGCCAACAAAAAAATTTAAGAAATGGCTAGGAGGCCTATATTAAGTTACAGGTACAAAATAAAAGAGACCTCAACAATTTAGATGCACCCTATTACCTGATTAAATAACAGAAAGGCTCCAATGTTCCATTACATAATCTATGCAGTAGTATATGTGACTACCAAACATAGCTAATCACAATATATAAACATAATAATGCAATTATTGGAATATACAACGGAGATTGTGACTGTAGTCTACTTAAAGAGACAGATATATCAAATGCACTTTACAAGGCTTTACTTGTTATAATTTCTATCCCTCATATAGATACATACTTAGAAGATATCAAGTGGAAGAACATGAAAGCCATTGGCAAAAGAAAATCCATTTAAGTCGGCAATTTCAATTGCATGATGAGGACCTTCAGATAACAGGGCAGCAGAAGACATATCCTCCTCAACCCAAGAAGGGAGCCAACAGAGGCTCAAATGAATAGCTTCAAACACTAAAGAGAAATTAAACGTGACTACTATTGCAAAGTTAGATTATATTGATTTTCAACCCAAAAAAGCCTCGTCCACCTCAAAAATAAAATTTCAACACCCATATCTGCCCCATTCTAGGTACCTTGAACTAATACCTCTGAACATCAGTACCAGTCAACAAAGCAAAACAAGTCCGACCAATATAAAAATCCTTGCCTTGTTCTATGGTGATCTCATGAACCATTAAGTCACAACTTAATTCAGGAAAAAACATTTAAATGCTTTTTGACAAATTACTCTAATGTAACTTGCTTTTCTGAAAATAATTAGAAAATATCCTCAAGTTAACATCATAAAATAATGTGATGATGTTCAATGTAGAACATTGATAAGTGATGATGTTCGAGAATTTCGAAAAATAAAATTTTCCAAACTTCATACAAAAAAGTTACCCAAATATTATGCCATGTAAGAATATAACCTATAGACATACAAGGATCCGTCACTTGTCTAGTCTTCAAGAAACAGAACATCAAAATAAATCACAAACCTTAGAGAGAAAGGCATCCTTCGTGAGTTTATAGTTGCTGTCCACATGATTCTTTGCTACTGCACGCTCATCAGCCCAAAACACATACCACTTCGTCCAATCAACGGTCTTGCTATACGGAGCTTCACAGAGTTTCCTGCATCCAAAGTAAGTTCACCGCTCATCTTCCTCGATGATAACGCAAAAAAGGCAAATCAGATAATCGTTTAGGGAATTCTCCAATAGCAATTACCCCATGAAACTTATAAGGGATCCTCCAGATAAAGCAATAGTAAAACATCCACTCTCCTTCACGGAATTCTCCGACAGCTGCGATATGTACTCGGCCAAATCCGTGGCCAGCTCATCCGTACTCTCAAAAACTCTCAATTCGCTTTTGTTCTTGAATTCGCCAGACGCAGCCATTTCTGCAGCCTGTCGCACCTCAGCGTGGCAATTCCCTGCGCGAGAACACCAGAAAACCAAGCCTGATCAGGAAACTCCGCCAAAGAATCTCTTGGAATAGCAAGGATTTGTCCCGGCAACGACGAATGCGGGAGCAGTTGAGGCCTTTGTCCAAAGATAAGGGTTTAGAGAGTCAGCAGCAGTAAAGCTTGCTTTTTTTCAGATAAATCTAGGCGCGGGGTAGGGCAGGGGAGGGGAGGCGAGCGCCGCGGCCGAGTGGCCCGACAGGAAGAAGCGGTAGTGGCTAGGACGGAGGATGCAGAGAAGGAGGACCGCGCCTGCTTGGGGACACGGAGGAGGAGGAGGAGGACTCACGGGTGGCGCGGACGGTGGGGGAAGCGGTCGGAATCGGAGGAAAGCATCCAACTTTTGGGGGAAAGAGAATAGGAGGGGGAATGGTGTTTGGTTTGGGGAAATAGTGGAGGGCAAAATAGGAAATTGACAATGAAAGGATAAATAAAATGGGTCGGATAATATATACGCAGTCGAATCCGTTTCCATATTCGAGTGGAATTGGATACGACGACTGTATAAACATATCTATCCAAAATCTTCCAAATCTAAATATATCATAACATCGATACGCATATCTAAAAGCCATTTTATCTTTATTAATTTATAAAAAAATAATCATTCGATTTATTTATAACATATCTTTCCTCCTCACGTTCATTATATATGTTTTTGCCTTTGTTTTATTCCTTGATGTATTTGTTTTATGGTATTTTTAGAGGACAAATAATACTTACAATGCATCATTCACTGGTATCTCTATAGACTGCAACAACATATTATAGTTCAATAGTATATTTTATTACCACTTAGACTGTATGTTTATTTCTTGATCTATCACTTTCCTTCCAGCTTAAAGGTCACATGATTTGTAAACCTTTTTTTAACATGATATGTAAACTGACATCTCAAGAAAAAGTGGTGGTCACATTAAATAGGACACTAAATTTTTTTTTTTATGATTCTGATAATTGATCATATGAAATAAATACTAAATATATACATTATTGCTGAAACTATGTGGTATGTGGTGTTGTTCTACCATTACCACAATCAGATTATTAGGTACCACTCGTTATCAGTGAGTGGGGATAGAATATTTTCAGCAAAACAAATATATATATTCGAGTAAATCTGAGTCTACGAAGAGATCAGTCTAAAATATCTGAAACTTCAATATTTTTTGTTACATTACAGGAAATAAAATGCAATATTTTCCTGAGGATTCATACATCATATATGACCATTATGCTCAAAAAATAATTGAAACAAAAGAACAAGGGGACACCTTCATATGGCTCAGAAGAAGCGGGAAAGAATGGTCGCAGAGATACTGGCACATACATCCACAGGCTTCTTCAGGGAGATAGGGATGAGCTGAGAAGACACAGTGGGAGATGTGTTGCAAAGCTTGTCCCTTCTCAGATTAGTACCGCACAATTATATATATATATCTGATGCATATAAAACATACACCACTCTTGGTCTCCTCATTGCAGACAATGTTATAGCAGGCAAGCATCTTCAGAATAAAAGCCTGCTCTTAAATCCCCCCTCCTCCCCCCCCTTTTTTTTTGCAGTGTGCATGGACTCGACAACCATTTGTTAGATGAACAGTTTGACATGCATAAGAAAGTTTAGTCTGATGACAAATCTGGCAGCCTTCATAGAACAACCCCACCTCTTCTTTCATTGGATTCTGGATACCAGCATGGCCCACAATTCAAGATTCATTGGGCTAATGATTGACCCAGCTGAAATGATTTAGTGATGAGTCATAACTTCTTAGTTGAGGTTCTGCACATAAAATGGAGTTGGTCAGATGTTGTTTCGCCGGTGGTTGCACCAGTATTAGGTATTGGATGAGCTACATAAACTTGTCTGCTCAGGATTCCATCTTTATATCCATTCCTTCAACAAAGATTCCCAGTTCTTCATAGATATGTAAGCTGAGAGCATTTCACTTGTGGTAGTCCATAGAAATATTGCCTGACGAAAGGGTGGGCTTTTGTGCTGGGAATCAGAAGACAGCAATGCAGTCTGGTGGTACAAAATGGTCCAAAACAATTGTCTGCATCTTTGTAGTATATCAAAGTCAGGCATGCTGAAGATTTGTTGCACATGTCTATCATCAGCAAAACAACAATGACTCGATTGTTTTTATCACAATAGATGCATGAGCCTGCATGCTAGGGGCAATTAGATGTCATACATACTTCACATTAGATGTCAAGCATCACTCAGAAGAGTAAGTCATGCATGATGGTGGCATGAATTATTTTCATCTTTCTTCTGACATTGTTACAAAGTAAATATAGCTTTGGGCAACCAATTCTATAAAAAGAGATCGACTGTGAAGCCAGGTTGTCCTTCAGCCAAGAACAGGATTAGGATGCTGTAAAAAAGTGGTCCAAAAACTGTTCATACAGTCTGTCCACTGTGATAATTGTTATTAGGTGCACATTCATATCAAGTGAAATGGGGTTCAATAATTGTGCCCATCAGCTTGTATACCACAGTTGTTCCATCCATAGATACGTATTCCATCCTTCCACCAGTGGTTCATTTCATCTCTATGCACCTTTTACTCTCAACAAAAACACCTTTTTATCTGCTAACTCATATCTTTCTTGTCTTTTCTATTCCTCCAACACTTGGCCCACTTGGTTTGTCCAAAGAATGCAGCTGAGATGCTGTCACATCACTTCCATTTTCCAGCTTCTCCTCCCTCCACCAGTGAATTGGAATCACGGCTTCATCAAGGAAGCATTGGAATATTATCCTCTTACATGATCACTTGAGGTGTCAGAGGGGGTCAGGTGCAGCGGTAAGCAGACTAATTAATCAAAAGCTACATCATGAGAGGAACACCAGCATTGTATGCGAATGATGGACTCCAGTGCCAATGCTTTTTGTGGTGAAAGTTGCATGAACCATTCTTAATAAAGAGATTGCTCTGAGCACTGGGACAGAGGCTTCTTTTGCGCCAGTTTCAATATAGCAGATTGCTTTGCTCATTCTGAGCACACTTCCTGCATGCATGCAAAATATTTACTAGGAAGAAACAGCACAAAGTTCTTGAGATTTGGAAGATCAGACATATAGACTGTGGACACAACAGCCTAAGCAAAATCATTGGCCTTCTAAGGAAAAGCGCACTCAAGTTGGTCATAGTTTCTGATTCCCATCATTGTGATATCAACAGAAACCTTATCGGGTGCCACTGTCATCAGTTGGAATAAGGTAGTGGGCATCGGTGGAACATTTTCCATAACCAATAAGATCAAATTAGAAGAACTCCATTAAGATTGAGGCACTGCTCACTATTCTGCAAGCTAGCCTTAGAGGAGGTAGATGACAGGAAAAGTAGATGAGCATCCACTAACACAATAAAGGTTATTGATGAGAATGGAAATGGAGGGGGTTGAAGTTAGGTAGGTTGTCCATCGTTCCAATCAACAAGAAAAGATTCATGAGGAAAGCTCACATAGAAGCTGAAGGCTTGTGGTCTGATAATTGCCATGTACAAATGATTGGTCTACTTGAGACCTTTCTTTCTTTGTCACACATGTAGCTCACGAAAGGAGATGTCAAGTGAGCTGACTGCTGAGAGTTTATCTTGTAATCTTTTTGCATGAATTCTTGTAGCGTACGTAACTTCAGCCTTACGGCAATTCGATAGGATGAAGCACTAACCCGTACAACAAGCTAACATGTCAATCATTAGAGCATTACATAGTTTGACTGATCATACTAAAGCAATCTGGCAATCCTTTCTATCTGATAGAAAATTATGCTCAATGACATAGAGTGCACAACAAGGGAGTGTCAGATAATTCAACTGCTACCGGAAAGATCGAATCTTTGGATGAATCGAGGAGCGGATGGAGTGGAGCGAATACCTTAATGGTGCGCGCTTGCTCGGAAGGAAGCCTTGGCGAAGGTCTCTTCGTCCACGAAGACGGCCTTCTCGGCGAGGAACTTTCTGCAGTGGGTTCAGCGCCCCCATTCCCCGGGCATCGCCGATCTCGCCCTCTTTGACAAGCGCGCCGCACGTGCACCATCGGGCACGCCCAATCTACCTTAGTTATGGGCTCAAATTGGGCTATTAGTGAGCTTGCACGCAAAGAGCATAAGAGAATAATAATAAGTATTTATTATATGTTTGATAATCAATTTTTAGCACGTATTCTATTTTATTCTCTTGTATTATTTATTTTATTTATTTATTTATTTATTTATTATTATTATTATATGTAAAATATTATTCTCCATGCTCAACTTGTCATGATGTGACCCATTAGATTAATAATAACATTATTAATATTAATTTATTATTATTATTATTATTATCTGTATAATATTATTTTCCATGCTCAACTTGTCATGATGTGACCCATTAGAGTACTTTACTTTAGCTATCCATATTATAGGATTAATCTAGTGTTCGACCAAATACCTGGATAACAAGTCTCTCTCATTCACTAATTCTTCGTAAGCTCGTTAGGAGACTGTTAGTTCTTCCGTTACATCATAGTTATCGTGATAGTAATCTCAAAGATAACACAGACGATAGAGAGACATGGCATGTTGATGGTCATGGTCCATCGAGTCCTCTCACACACGAGAGCTGGTGTTGAAGGAAAAGAAAAAATTTTAAAATTAAAAGAATACTTAGAGATCAATAAACTAAAAAGTATATCAAAAAGTTAATACAAAATTAATGTAGTTTGATAAATCTCATCTATATCTACAAGGAAATCAGATTCTTTAATATATGAGATCAATTATAAGATCATTGAGTTACTAACATTGAAGTATAATTTTATTTATTTATTTTTCACATAAATATGATGAATTATATCAATTCTTTCTAGAAACTTTAGAGATCATATTAGGAGTACCTTTCTCTCTTACTAAGATCTTGAGACTTAATATATATTTATAAGAATAAATCCTAATTTATTAAGAAATTTTAATTAATTAAGACCCTATCAATTACTTTAAATAAAATTAGAACTTCTAAAAATACTTATAAATCTAAGAAGGGATGATGGCATTTTTGTTGAGAGAACCAAGGGTGCTCCCATGTCTTATTGCAAAGAGTGGGCTCTAGTTCTTGGGTTCACAACTCTGATGTCTAAAAATAAATAAAAAAAATTATTTTGTTAATGACACAAGTGGCACACACATGAACTCCAATATGAGAATTATCACTTGTATAATAAATTATTAACTAATTAAATGTCTCAAAAGAATCACAACTCTGATGTTAATGCATTCCTCTGTAAGCAAGATAAACATGTCATGTGTGATTGGATTCTTCATCTTACTTCAACCATGTCAGATATGAGCATGATTGTGATTGTAATCTTCTTGACAAATGGCATTATTATAACTTTAATCTTCCTGACTTGTATTATAATA